GGGAATTGAAAAAAAATCCATAATTTGCGGAATAGACAGGAAAAGACTATCCCAAATAGCGCTCGATACCAAGGCCTTTTTCCCCCAATATCGAAATTCGTTGCTCGTCTCAACTAAAGAGTTGCATTTTATTCCAAATGCAGTCGTCATAATTATGTCCGTCGAGTATCTATTGTTGTTCGATAAAAATCAATTTGGTAAGTTTTAATAGTTGTGTAATAAATTGTGAAAATATATATGTAAACGCCTATTTGCGGAAATAAAGCATAATATATTTATTTCAAATATTTATGATTACCTGGCAAATATATCTTTAATCTCGATAGAATCTTCTGTGCGAATTTTACTCTCCAAACTGTTCGTGAGCATTTCGCCACATTCTTTCAAGACCATGAACATTTGCTTTATTTTTCCCGATGTGAAGGTCGGCGTCAATTTGACGCGTAAGTTCCGCCACTTTTTCCCGGACAACATAAACAAATTACCAGTCAGTGGGTCGGTTTTTTCGTTGTAAAACAATCCACGATCATGAAAACTTCCGAATTCCTTTGCCAACACCGTTTGGATGAGGTCGAGATCGGTGATAGTCAGATTTGGTTTCAAAAAGAAATACGTTCCAAAAACACGATGATCTTTATATTTCATATAGCCATCATAAAAGAATTCACCTGTTCACAAAATTTTTTAAAATTCTGTTTGTCCAATTTATAAGACTAAATTCATACAAATCTCCCTCCCTTTCGTGGGGATTTCAAGAAGATACAAATCAATCGTAATTTTGTTAGATATAGTAGAAGAACGCCTTGCCTTCCGATTTTTACAAGATTCTTATTCAATTACTAAAAATATCATTGAACGTTATGTAATCATACTTGCCTAATGATTTTTTTCCAGTTATAAAATCAGTCATGTTGCCAGTTGGTACATCAGGCTCGATATAAAACACACCCTTCTTCCGCCAGAAATTGAATATCACGTATTTACAATAAACATATATTAGCGTAAGGATAGCGATACAAAGCCCGATCGTTATCCCGATTATCATTTTGTATTGATATTCTTTTCCTGTAATATAATAATAAACAACTACTTCGTAAAGCTTTACGGTTAATCTATGTATACTACCCTTATAGAAATATCATACTAAGAATCATTGATAATTACTTATTTTTAGTATTAAAAATACTGGATAATAAGTAATTATCAATGATTCTTAGTATGATATTTCTATAAGGGGATAGTGTTAAATGCTCGGCGTTCCTTATGCTTTCACGAATATTTTATATCTGCAATGTTATTTCCAAACTCGTGTAATTCCTTTACTGCGATGTTACCTTTATTACAGAAGTAAATAATGTCGAAACCAATTTCTTTATTAGTCACTAGATGCAGGTCGGGTAATATTTGTCACAATCGTAAAATTATATGAAATTATTCATCATCACACATTAGATGTGCACGCGCGCAAACACTTTGCAGTTTTAATTCACTGGAAGAAGAGCTCGCTTATATTAACAACATATGTATCTTCAAGATACATTTGTAACAGATAAGCTGACATAATGCCAATCATCTAACTGTGTGTTAATATTATGTAATAAATAATGTCATGCTGACTAGCAATTTCTTATAGATAGATGAGATAACAAAAGTTTTATAAGAGAAGATTATTTCGCAAATATATCTTTGCTCTCGATAGAATCTCCCGTGCAAGCTTTTTTAATATTGTTAATGTATGTATAGTTAGTGTTAGTTATATGTTAGTTATATATTAGTTATACGTTAGTATTTAGTGTTTTCCAGGTAAAATAAATAGTTAAAATAATGTCAAACTGATATCATTTTGATCAAATATTCACTAAATTTACATAATTTCTTGGTCAAAATGATATCAGATTGACATTGTTTTGACTACCTGTTCTACCTAGTTTCTAAAACTTCTAACATTTTTCTCGTCATAAAATGAACCGTTTATTTAGAAAATTA